AGCAGAGTGTTGTGGCAAGGGGAGCACTTCTTGGGGGAAGCTGGGCAGGTTACTGGCTCTGGCAGCTCTCCAACTGTCCCTCCTGTCCCCTCCAGGTGCCGGCCATAGTCAGGTGCATCCACCAGTGGCTCACATCCAATGTGTCTGCTGAGAACAGGCTGGACAAGACTCTTGTCCTGCTGACCGAGGCACACCCCATGGATGTTGCAGTGACCCTGCTGCGCTCTGCCTCAGCCTGTGACAGGTATGGGGCCCACCTGCCTTGAGGGATCACCTGCCTTTAGACCCCATCCCCCTCAACAGCCTGTCCCAAATGGTGTGGCAGAGAGATGGAGCCTTCCCAGACACTCCAGCTCCTCTCTTTGCCACCTTTGGCATGGCAGCCCCCAATCCTGAGGCCAGCCTGCCTCCCTGCCCCACAATGCACCGTGGCTCTGTCACCTGGGCCCCGCAGCTGCCCAGGCCACAGAGCTGTGTCCCAGACCCCCCTGAGCCAGAGTTGTGACTCCACAGAGCTGCTCGCACCATGTGGAAGACGCTCGTCTCCTCCAGATGGACGAAGGAGCCGGTGCTGCAGATCCTCTTCCGTGTGCTGGAATACTGGCCAGCGCACAGGAGACGCACCTCTGATGGGGATGAGAGGGATGTCTTTGCCCTGGCTGTGAGTTTCTTGAGCTGGCCTCTGCTCACCCCCACGTTGCCTCTGGGACACCTTTCCATCCTCCCTCACCACTGCTTCTCCCTGCCCCAGGCACTGGGCTGCAGGCCTGCCTTAGGGGCAGGTTCAGGGACACCAGGCTGAGGGATCCCCCTGTGTCTCCCCTGGCCTGTCCCTGCCACGCTTGGGTCCTGCCACATGGACAACTGGGCCCTGAGAGCTGTCTCTGGGTGCTTTGTCTTTGGCAGGCAACTGTGGCACTCTGGGAGATCCTCCAGCTGTCCTGGTGCCCAGGAGCAGTGAAGGACAATTTCCCCCGCCTCCTTCTGACTCTGCTCTTCCAAGTTTTCATCAGCACAGAGGAGATGTCAGAGGAGGTCGAGACCTTCTGGAGGCGATGCCGGGAGCAGCGCAGCCTTCCCCCCAACCCCAACAGGTGCTCCATCCCAGTCCCCTCTCCCTGCCACGCCCTCAGGGCTGGGGCCAGGGCTCTGTGCCTGACCTGAGCTGTGCTCTGCACACAGGTTTGCAGTGCAGACCGTTAAAGCCCTGCTGCGCCAGCTGCTGGATGAGGACGTGCTGATGGTCATCGGCCGCAAGGGTGGCTGGGACATGCTCCTCAAGGCTGACAGCCACCACTATGCAGTGGGTCTGCTGGCCAGGTGAGAGCCCTTTCTCCCTACTGCCCCTGTCATTTCTGCCCTGTGCACAGACCACCCCACACAGTGCCCGTGCTGCTGGGCCAGAGGGCCTTGGCAGCCAGGGATGGCTGAGCAGAGTGGAAAAGGCGGAGAGGGGCAGCTGCACAGGAGGAGCCACCTCCCAAAGCG